AGCTGAGTCTTTCTGTGACCTTGAAGAACTCATCAGGGAGGCTTGCATCGATCAGCAAAACATGCATATTTGTGCATTGTGGTAATGCAAACGTTCCTGCAGTGCACAGATGCCAAGAGAACCATAGTGTGCATTAAAACATTTCTAATTGAGATTTTAACATTCACATTCATACAGTCCTACAAAGTATTCAACAAACTATGCCATAATGCAAAAGAGGAAGAAGCAAAAAAAAGTGTTACACAATGAAGAAAAGTCACGTGTAAGAAAAAGAATTCGAAACATAGGAAAGTCAAGTTATTTAAAGTGTGTATACTGCCAAAAATGTTTTAAATTTTTTTTGGGATAGGGTTGGAAATGGTTAGAACCTCTGTCAGGTTTTTTTATTGCTGTCTGTGTAACCACTGGGAGAGATTCACCTTATTTGTTCTATTGACCACTGTCACTGGGAATAAAAGTACGGGTAAATCCAAACTTTGAAGTTGTCACCTGAACAGAAGTGAAGGGGACATTTTCCAATGGGGACACCGGTTCTCGACATCTGTCTATGGTTATTGGTAATGGTTATTGTAAGTAGTTAGGATATAAATATATCATATCTGTAATAACTATTACCATCCAAGTGTGTCAAGTAAAATATTTGCACTTTACTTATAGCTGTATTTCATTACTTTTCTGCTTCAAAGGACTCCTACAAGGCGAGAATTGTGTCTGGAACTTTGAGTCAATTACCTCAATAACACCTCTGATCCCTATGGCCTAACCCAGTGATGGCTGGCTAACTTTTTGAACCCGAGTGCCCAAGCTGCAGCACAAAATCAATTTATTTATCTCAAAGTGCCAACACTGAAAACAAGTTTGGTATTGTGTTTTAGTTTGGGCGCTGGGGTTTAAAAAATGTTTAGCATCACTGCCTTAGGCAAAATAGGGAAACACACATATTCAAACATTTATACATTCACAGATACAAACACATATCATCACACACATATAATCATACATGCATAAACACACACATATCACACACTCATAAAACACACACACCACACACCCATAAACATACAGAACACAATCATAACACATCACACACTCATAAAAATACAAATCATACATATCGTGCACACTCATATCAAACACACACATATCACACACACTCATAAAGCACACCCACACATAAAAACACACCCATAAAAATAAACCAAACATTCATAAAAACACACACAGATATCACACACTCATAAAAAACGCACACATACCATACACACTCATAAAACAAACCCACACATCACACACATTCATAAAAACACACACACTCAATAAAACACACATCACACATGCAATGTAACATACACAAATATAACACACACACTTATTAAACCACACATACAGTATCTCACAGAGGTGAGTACACCCCTCACATTTTTGTAAATATTATATTATACTGTGTAAAGTACATGTACATATACAATGTAAAGTAGTGAGTGTATAGCTTGTATATCAGTGTACATTTGCTGTCCCCTCAAAATAACTCAACACACAGCCATTAATGTCTAAACCGCTGGCAACATAAGTGAGTACACCCCTAAGTGAAAATGTCCAAATTGGGCCCAATTAGCCATTTTCCCTCCCCGGTGTCATGTGACTCGTTAGTGTTACAAGGTCTCAGGTGTGAATGGGGAGCAGGTGTGTTAAATTTGGTGTTATTGCTCTCACTCTCTCATACTGGTCACTGGAAGTTCAACATGGCACCTCATGGCAAAGAACTCTCTGAGGATCTGAAAAAAACAAATTGTTGCTGTACATAAAGATGGCCTAGGCTATAAGAAGATTGCCAAGACCCTCAAACTGAGCTGCAGCACAGTAGCCAAGACCTTACAGTGGTTTAACAGGACAGGTTCCACTCAGAACAGGCCTCGCCATGGTCGACCAAAGAAGTTGAGTGCACATGCTCAGCGTCATATCCAGAGGTTGTCTTTGGGAAATAGACATATGAGTGCTGCCAGCATTGCTGCAGAGGTTGAAGGGGTGGGGGGGTCAGCCTCTCAGTGCTCAGACCATACGCCGCACAGTGCATCAAATTGATCTGCATGGCTGTCATCCCGGAAGGAAGCCTCTTCTAAAGATGATGCACAAGAAAGCCCACAAACAGTTTGCTGAAGTCGAGCAGACTAAGGACATGGATTACTGGAACCATGTCCTGTGGTCTGATGAGACCAAGATAAACTTATTTGGTTCAGATGGTGTCAAGCGTGTGTGGCAGCAACCAGGTGAGGAGTACGAAGACAAGTATGTCTTGCCTACAGTCAAGCATGGTGGTGGAAGTGTCATGGTCTGGGGCTTCATGAGTGCTGCCAACATGTACTGTGACATACTGAAGCAAAGCATGATCCCCTCCCTTCAGAGACTGGGCCGCAGGGCAGTATTCCAACATGATAATGACCCCAAACACACCTCCAAGATGACCACTGCCTTGCTAAAGAAGCTGAGGGTAAAGGTGATGGACTGGCCAAGCATGTCTCCAGACCTAAACCCTATTGAGCATCTGTGGGGCATCCTCAAACGGAAGGTGGAGGAGCGCAAGGTCTCTAACATCCACCAGCTCCGTGATGTCATCATGGAGGAGTGGAAGAGGACTCCAGTGGCAACCTGTAAAGCTCTGGTGAACTCCATGCCCAAGAGGGTTAAGGCAGTGCTGGAAAATAATGGTGGCCACACAAAATATTGACACTTTGGGCCCAATTTGGACATTTTCACTTAGGGGTGTACTCACTTTTGTTGCCAGCGGTTTAGACATTAATGGTTGTGTGTTGAGTTACTTTGAGGGGACAGCAAATGTACACTGATATACAAGCTGTAAACTCACTACTTTACATTGTAGCAAAGTGTAATTTCTTCTGTGTCGTCACATGAAATGATATCACACACTAAATAAAACACACATATCACACACCTATTAAAAACACACACACATATCACACTCTCATTAAAAAACACACACATATATTTCACACTCATTAAAAACACACACACATCACAAATTAATTAAAAAAACACACACGGATCACACACTCATAAAACACACAATAAATCACACACACACGCTGATTAAAATACAAACACTTATCAAAAAACACAGAGACATATAGCACACACAAGCATTAACAATAATTAAAAGCTCCCTCCCTCCAAAACAGGTAAGCAGGAGAGGGGGCAATTTTTTATATATTATTCATTATTAGCTTTTAATTATTGCACTGGACCATCACGAGATGATTTTCATTAAATATATTGCCGGTTCGGCAATATATTATGTAGGATCCTTCCAGGTTTAAAGGCGGTGGGCATCTTAAAAAACTTAATATGACGCGGAGACCAGTGGGACACCAGAGGCTCGCACGGAGCACCCCAGCTGAGCACCTGCAGTGTGCAGTCACCGGCAACCGCCACCTCGCGTGCATTCATAGGGGGCCTCTGTGTGCCCTCTGTGGCACACGTACCATAGGTTTGCCGCCGCTGGCCTAACCCTTCACAACAGCCTTTACCACTCACATATGTCAAGAAAAAAGCCGATAAAAGGGCTCTAAGGAATCCAAATAGCTTGGATCTTTGATAACTTAAAATAGGAGGGGTGTGTGTAGCGTAAGGAAGGCTTATAACTCCTGTCAGCTTTTTTTTTTGGCCATCTGTGTCGCATTGGGGAAATTTACTTTTACTTTTTGTCAGATAGCCACAACAGGAAGTGAGTGCAAATGCCTCCAAAGTGAAGGAAATCCCTAGAGGTTAGCAGGGTCACCAGAACTAGTATGCCCATGGCATAATTGTCCATCTATTCTTGTTCTGATGACAATGCAAACATTAGGATTTTCTTTCACTTTCACCCAGAGAGGGTGAATCTCTGTAACAGGGATACAGACAGCACTAAAAACCTGGCAGGTGTTTGAACCCTCCTCTACTCTACTCTATCCAAAACTAAAATAAAAGTTTTGTCTTCATTGCACTTTATGTTAACCAGTAAAGGGGATCACTTAAACTCCAAACGTTCTGCACTAATCAATGGCTAACACAGTACAATACTCTACAATTGCTGGATAACTATGTAAAAGAGATCAGCGTGATGTAAGTAATCTTATCAATATGTGTTAATGTTTTTTTTTTTTTTTTAAAAAAAGCTGTTTCTTTGTATGAATTTAAATTATATATGCACAGGGGGAGACTATATTTGTCTGTTACATGCAGACCCTGCTTCCGGCTTTGTACAGCTACACAATGGTTGTGCTTTAATGTGGCTTCTTAGAATGCAAACCTATGTGCTTGCTAACCTACTGAATGCTATCTACACCCTGTGTGGCTTGCATATTATGTAGGTAGATTTAACATAAAAGTACAGCTGTTCTTTAAGGTACAAACTGCAATAATGACTCAAAATATGCACTTATTGAAAACAAACGATATTTTCTACAAACCTGTGCTCAGAGAAACATAAAGGTGTCAGTTTCTGATTTGTGCTTACAAAACACTGATCCAATCACTTCAATACTTTTTAAGTCATTGACCTAGAACAAGTATGCATATTAAGAGTATTCTCTTCACTTGCTGCATGCTTGTTACATGACAATGCCAGAAACATCCAGGCAATTAGCACTTTTAGAAAATAGCAATGGCAGCATATATATGTTTCTTATTGTAATAAATGTGGACCACTTGCTTGATCCCTTCATGTGGTGACTTAGAGGTGTATCCCATTAGTACAGCCTTCTTATTTTGCTGGATTTGGGGCATACAATGAGTTGGAGAGCTGGTGATGGTGAACCCTGGTATTGTAGCCCAGTGCTCTCCAAGATCCCATTTTCCTAATATATAATTTTGTGATAAACTATCCTCTTTGTCATTATGTGGATGAATGGAGTATGATATAACATTTAAAGTGAAAGAAACACTTTGATAAAAGGTCCTTCTATGTTTTACATTAAATAACATGTAACATTGTCTGCTTTGTAAAGGTGAGTTTGGCCAGCGCAATGCAGGACACGCCAGTCTACTGCAATCTGGAGGAGATGAAGAGGACAAAGGGAGCCCCTCCTAGTCCTACATGTCCCCCTATACACACTCTGGATAACTGGGAATGCTATGTGGACCCAACAACAGGCAGACACTTCTTCATTAACTCAGAAACTAAAGAGAAAACATGGAAGCCTCCTAGAAGGTCCAGGGACAAGACACCAGGATGGGTGGGTACATTGATTTGGTTATCTGTATCTAACAATACAAGACAAACAAAAACATTGCAAAGGGATTGAAATAATTTGATGGGTACATCTGGAGATGGCAGTGTGGATGGAAATGTATCTTGCAGGAAACTCAGTGTTCTTCTAGAACCAGACTCTTTTAGAGTAAGCAGAACACCAAAATTCAAGGTTCACTATATTTCTATGAAAGTGGAATGCTTTAGGAGTTTTTCTTCTGCAACTTTAACTAATCTAAATTTTAGTTTTTCTCTAATTTGTAAGTTTCTGAAACCAAAAAAAACCCCAGTCTGCTGACCCCCAATACCACTAAGTGCTGTTGGGAATTTAGAAGGTCAATATTGGGTGATTAAAAATTGTAAGTACAACTAAAGCCAAACTTTTTTTTTTTAGTTTTGGATAAAGTGGAGAAGTATTAGAACACATGTTAGGTTTTTATTGCTGTCTATGTCCCCATTGGGTAGAGTCACCCTTTCTATTTGTCATGGTCACTGTTATCATTGAGAGTGAAAGAAAATCCCACCTTTTGAGTTGCTACCAGAACAGGAATAGAGGGGAAGTCTTACAATAGGGGCATTAGTTTTAGTGACCGTAATGACAACAGAGATTTTCCACACTCTGGAAGGATTTCCTCTCACTTCCTGTTGTGGCTATGGAACAGAAAGTGAAGGTAAATATCCCCAATTGGACATCAATGGCAAAAAAGCTGACTTAGGCTATAATCCTCCCTTATCCTAACCAAAATGAAGAGAAAAAAATGGATTTAGATTCACTTTAAATATACATTTATTTTTAATCAATACAGGATTACATTAATAATCTCTTTCTATGTCACCTACTAACTTCAGCTCCTCCCACCCCTTCATAAAGACACCCACAGTCCCTAAAACGTACAACATACACTTCCCTTCTTTCTTGTGACACTGCTGATGTCATAGGGATTGGCCCAGTGTTGTCGCACGTGGGAGAAGTTAAAATTCTCATCCCTGTGTAAGTTTCAACAAGTTGGAGCTTACACCTGGCTTTCTTTTCTCATTCCCATTGTCCAAAGGGAAGGAAAGGTAAGTGTGTATTCCTGGGGAGTAGGGAAGGATCAAATTACCCTTTTACTTTGTCCTGCATGAACAAAGCATTAAAGACTGCAGTGTTCTGCCTAACAGCCACAGCCATTACAAAACCAAGCTGAGGTCAACCCAGTGCGTTCTCTATAGTAAAGAGTAAAATAATAACTGGGAAGACCATCAACAAGAGAATGAGACCTTGTTATGGCCTTAAGGGAAAGGGTGAATACACACATTACTAGAGGATCTAGCGGTAGATCTTGACTTTGAAATCATTGAGAGAAATAATATGTTGGTTGTTGATCGAAGTTCCTGCGGTGCCCACCCAGAAATAAAATATAAATTGTATATATTGTATGAGTACAATGGTATTATATACCACTGTAATGTTCAATTTGTAATTGTATTTTCTGTTTAATTAGGCTATTACCCCTCCAGGAGACTTGGAGTCATCAGAAGAAGGGGAAGATCCAGCCTCCACATCACAGTCAGAGGTAAGGTGTAGTTGTCCTTCTATGTGCTGACTGCACTAGAGAGAGTGATCTTAGGCAATCACATGCAGTGTGTGTGCATGTGTTCATATTTCATTTAAAAGGCTTGGTGTGGAAAAGAAATATAGCAATAGTGAGCACTTGCTGACTAGTGACATTCGATATTAGCAAACACAATTGTTCCTATGTTTACATAATTACATCCCGGAGCAAGGAAAAACCATCACATGATCTACATTGGTCAAAATTCAAAATTATAATAAGCTCAGTGAGTATGGAAATATAAAATCTATTTTATTGATTTACTATATTATATTTACATTAACAGCTTAGCAACCCACTTGGTTCTTATCATAAGAGCCTCGTGGGTTGCTAAGCTGTTAGTTCTATAATAATGTAAATGTATTGTAAATGTTATCTATTGGGGGGCCTAGTGCAGGAGCATTACGCCACCTGCCCTTCAAACTTCACAGTGCAGAGTACTGATTGCATTGCCTGCTCAGTGCATCCAAGACTTCTTAGCCTGCTTATAATGGCCAAGTGTTCTCAATTCTCAATCATATATCCATAATATCTTTTTTTTTTTTTATATGTAGTGGCAACTGGCCCTGGTATTCAGGAAAGATTTACATTAAGCAACCATGCATTTACAAATGTACAATGTTTACAAATGCTTATTATCAATCCCTACTTCCTGCTAATAATGTACCATTATACCAACACTTACAAACCCTACTTCCTGCTAATATTATACCTTATCTATTCATCTGAAAGAGGATGGTCTGAAATGAAACATCCCACAGATGCACCATTATGCTATAAATAAAACTTTTAGGGTGGTGTTGTAATCTGTCATTGTGGCTATATAATATATTTCAATTGAACAAAATGAGGAGATTGTTCCTACTTAGATAAATGTTGTCAGAGAAGTTTTAGTTATATGTCGTACTCTGACCATTTGGTGTAAGGATCAGACTTAGTTTCAGCTTACATTTCAGTTGTGCATATCTGAATTCATTAGTGGACTTAAAAGCGAGGCAAACTTCAGGCCTGTGCCTGATCATCAGGTTAGTCTCTTTGCTCATGCGTTGGGTAGAGGTCTATCTGTCTTTGACTTCCGTCTGACAGTTCATGCTTTGGATTATTCCTGTGTAATGTTTGGACTGTGTTTTAACTCATCTTCTTTGAGCATATGCTGACCATCGGTCTGTGACTTACGGTATGTTATTGTCAGAGATAGCTCTGTCTGGAACCAGGAATCTGTTTGAGATTTGTTTGTCTCCCCCTGTTCTGGCTATTAGTCTGCTAAATCTGCTTCTGTCTGCTCTTTCCTCTGATCATCATATTTCAGAAGATTAGTGTAAAGCTTTTATTGCTGTCTTTTTCGTAACTGGAGGAACTCTCCCCTTGGTGACCCCAAGACAAGGCATAAGAGAATTCTATGGGGCTGGTCTACTTCCATCTTCTGGCTGGTAGGCACAGGAAGATGAGCCCCACAGACCTCTAAGAGGCTCTAATGTGCAGGCACAGTTAGCAGAGAAAGCACTGTTGTGGGATGTAAACAAATATTGGAGGCCCCAGGGATGGGCTCTCAGTAAGTATGTATCTGTGGAGGGGGAGGTTGGGGTCTGTCAGGTAAGGGAACAGGTATCAAATAATAAGTGCAATTTCAGAGAAAGTGCACTTATTCTTTATAAGGATGAACTTCTCCACAATGCCTATAGAAACAGAGTTGATTGAGGGCTTGTTTCAGAATGTTTTTACAGCTTCACCAGAATATGGAAATAGTGTTCATAGTATGGGTACAGGTTCACTTTAAAAAAGATTGTCAGGTTTGTAAAGAGTTAAAACATTCTGGTCCATGCAATAGAAGACAGTGTGCGCTAAGCCTTCCAGCAGGCCATTTCCCCTACCTCCCCTCCACTCCAGGGTTGCAGCCTCTGAAAGCCCCTTTGGCATTCAGCACATCCCCTAGTATCAAGTGCCTGTGCCCCCTTCTATGCGCCATTGTTATTTCCTTCAAAACCCTAAGTCACTACAATACTCGGCAGTGACATAGGGGTCAGAGAATGAACAACAACACATGGTGGGGGGCACAGACATCCTACACTTTCAGTAGTGTCGAATACCAACGTCACTGATGGCAGCTGCAGTGCTGGAATGGAGGGGTAGGAGGAGAAATGGGCCGCCAAAGAGAAGTGAGTATACCCTGTCTTCTTTTGCAGGGACCTGACCATTTCAAATCTTGACCCGACAGGGTCTCTTTAGGTTTGAAAAGGGACAGAGCCTATTATATAGAGGATATGGACTGAATTCAAAAAGGAGACAGAGGGGAATTTTATTTTCAATGGACAGTACTGGAAAACCTTTGCAACGACAGAAACTTCCGGGACAAATTCTGAAATTCTAGCTCTTGAAAATCAGGATAAGTTGAAAACTATTGTAATAGTTGATTTCAGACAGCAGATGATGTAAGTCAGTGTGCTGAATTTTTATCTTGCAGTAGTGGTATTGCGCCTGTCTCTTCCTTCCTGTCGACAAACCACAGGTCTCATGTCTTCTAATATTGGTCAACTCTGTCGTCAGCCATTGCAGGCGGTATTTCATTTTATATATGTCATTTCACTAAATCCTAGTGTAGCGTTTGTGCAGAGATGACAAAGAACTCTACTACTTAAATGCCAGGTTTTGTCAGTTTTGGGGCTGTATCGATGAGAGACTCCAGGCAAGCAGCTAAATACACTGGTGAATTCATAAATGTTTACTGGTTTAGTCGCTAAAGTATTTGTAGTTCTGTACAGCCAAGCTTTTATTCTAATTATTGTATTAGATACAGCCAGGCTGATTATACACATACTGGGAATTTCTATAAGGACTTTGCACCCATTTTATGGCGGTATTGACCTATAAAAGATCCTGTGCCAAGTTCAGAAAAGCCGTGTCACCAGTTTCAGTAGCTTTACCAACGTGTGCGACAGATTCATGTAGTTCTTAATAGGTAGTGTCAATGCAATACATTATACCAGGGGTGCCCATAAGGTCGATCACGATCAGCCAGTCGATCGCGATCAACCAGTCGATCGCGTAGGGATCACTGGTAGATCGCGATGTCCTCTCCTCCCGCCGGTGGGGCTTCTCTAGATCCCCACTGCTCTCCCCATCTGTATGCAGCGGGGATCCAAGAAGAAGTGAAGGAACCGGCGACGGGGGAGGACGTAGCCGCTGTCACAGAACTAATGCCGAGCGGTGAGGAGAGAGAGACACTCTGTCTGGATCTGACAGCCGGTGCCTCTCTCTCCCCTCACTGCTCGGCCTTAGTTCTGTGACAGCGGCTCCGCCCTCAGCCACCTCCCCCACCCCCTAGGCTTCGTGTCGCATCACCCGCTGCCTCTGCCCGGGAGAGCAGGGGGGATCCATGGGATAAGTTGAGCCCCGTGTGCGTGGCTGAGCAGCAGAGGATTGGTACATATCAGTGATATGTACCGGTCCTCTGTGCAGGACAAACACTGGACCGATCAGCTGATCACTCCAGTGTTTGTAAATAACTGGGGACACATAATACTTTGTGTCCCCAGTTATGAATGAACAGGATTTACATCACTTCCTGTTCATTCATGAGTTTCTCAATGGGCAGAAGCACTCTTTACAGAGGCTCCTCCCCATTCAGAAACTGCTTGATAGTAAAATATTTTCTGAATGAATGGGAAGCCTCTGTGCTTTTTATTCATTTAGAACAGAGGCTGCAGAAAAAAGGATTGAGGACTTTGTGTCCTCAATTTCTTTTTCTATTTTAAAAGGGAAATATCAGGGGGCTGTTTAGACCCCTAATATTCCCCCGAAGCCCCCCCCCAACAGTAAAAAA